CATCAAAAAAGATTGTAGTGAGAGCAGATAAAGATAAATAACGTTTGTTGATACATGGTGACTTCACTTTGAAAGCCAAAGACTGGAAATCCTAGGAAGCAAGGACAGAGAACATTTGGACTGGTCAATTCGTAAATCTTACCTGGAGTCTTTAATGTATCAATACGTCCCCCTTCCCAGGTTTGGTGGCATATTTTGATACTTCAATGTATCAATCTGTTAAACAGGCCACGAGAATGAGAGAATAATGCCCCATCATTATTGATGGGCCATCACATCATCCAAAAAACAATGATGCTCCATCATTGCTGGATTTGGTATTTACTAGCGCCGCCCTGTTCCTTATTATCCAAATTGCATTGTCCCTCTTACGGTCGTGCATATTCTTGTTGAATGTCCTGCCTTCCAGGACGAGCGTCTTGCTTTCTGACCGTCCCTCTCGGTCACTTGGCCCTCGATAGAATTCTTGGTGAATCTGATACTATTGATATCATTCGCCTTATGCGTTTCTATTCTCGTATTTTCATCCTTGGTGATATTTAGCGCCCTCTGATTATTCCGCACATTTGATGGTGCTACATAGCCTTTCCGATTTGGTGCCTTGTTTTGATAATTACTTGGTATTTACTAGGAAAGAAGAAGAGATATTTGGTAATGTAGGGCAAGTGCCCTTATCCTTCAGGAAATCAAATATGCAATGTGTTAAAATATAGAAGAGATTAAAGAGAGGGATATGTGAAATTTTGTATTTCAAGAGAGGACACTATGGGGAACTTGGCAAGTTCATTAATGAAGTTGATTTGGAAGATTTGTTCCTAGACAAGTAAATGAGATGTATATCAAATTTTGAGAGAGAATATGTTCAAAAATTCAACAAAATTTATACCAAAACAGATGCAGAACTAGAAAACCAGACTGGTTCAACAGAACTTAAGGGCACAGGAGACAGACAAAAATGGAATCAATATAGGAAATGGCCAAACCTCTGAAACATTCAATAAAAAAAAACAAGAAACAACTACAGGATAATGAGAAAAGAGGCAGAAAACAAATTTGAGAAAGAGAGAGCGAACAAAATCTGAAACAGAACAAGGACTATTCTATAAATTCATTAAAGCCATTTGCAGGTAAAGGACAAAATCCAGAGGTTGACAATGGGGGAACAGATTTATAGAGAATAACAAGGAAATGAGTGAAACACTAAACGAACAGTTCCAACATGTGTGTGTGCAAAATAAGGTTATCAGATAACCAGACAATACAGATTTATGAGAACAACATACAGGTGTTGACCAGACCACACACTAGAAGGTGAAGGGACGATGACGTTTCGGTCCTGGACCATTCTCAAGTCGATGGTCCAGGACGGACCGAAACGTCGTCGTCCCTTCACCTTCTAGTGTGTGGTCTGGTCAACATACTTTAGCCACGTTATTGTGACTCATCGCCTGCAACATAGAGGTGTCTCGAGATGAATTTGGTAAAATGTTCAAGGAGCTAGTTAGAAACAAAACAGTTGGGCCAGATTGAATTTCACCTTGGCTATTGAGAGAGTGCGTATCTGAGATGAACATTCTATTTAAATTGATTTTTCTGACATCCTTATGTACAGGAATCTTAGCAGATGCATGGAAAAAGGCAAACATGGTTCCAGTCTACATCAAAATGATAGTAGAGAAGACGTGAGTACGGCTCGATACTCACTCACTCCTTCAGAGCAGGAGAGATTGCTCAAATAGAGGGAATACAGAGAACATATACGGCACGCATAGACGAGATAAAGCACCTAAATTATTGGAATCGTCTCAACGCTCTCCAAATGTACTCACTAGAAAGGAGACAGATATCAAATAATATACACGTCAAAAATACTAGAGGGGCCAGGTCCCTAATCTACTCGGTAAAATAACAACATACTGGAGTGAACGATATGGAAGAAAAAGCAGAACAGAACCAGTGAAGAGCAGAGGTGCCATAGGCACAAGCAGAGAACACTGTATAAACATCAGAGGTCCGCGGTTGTTCAACATCCTCCCAGCGAGCATAAGAAATATTGTCTGAACAAACGTGGACATCTTCAAGAGAAAACTGGATAATTTTCTTAAAGAAGTGCCGGATCAACTGGGCTGTGGTGGATGTGCGCGCCTGTGGGCTGCTCCGAACAGCCTATTGGACCAAGCTCTCACAATTCAAGCCTGGCCTCGGGTCGTGTTTAGGGAGTAGAATAACTCCCAGAACCCCATTCAGGTACAATCCAGCTACAAGACCCTTTCTATCGTTGATTAGCAAGGTAGTTAAAGCACTAGAAACATTTTTAAAAACCAAACTGGTAGAACACCTGGAGAGAAATAATAACACAACAGACAGTATGGCTTGCGAACAGAAAGATCCTCTGTAACAAATCTACTTAGTTTCTATGAATGTCTTAGAGTTTATAAGAAAGAGATAGTTGTTCCCACATTAATGGTTGTTCTGAAAACTGAAACATATTGGAGGGGAGATGGGAAGACTTCTGACTTGGATGACAAACTTCGACGGATAGAAGAATGAGGACGGCGATGAGAGACAATGTATCTGACTGGAGAAATGTTACTAGTGGAGTGCCACAGGGATCAGTTCTTGCACCAATGATAGTCAGTCTTTATGAACGATCTAAAAGGAGGAATACATAATTACATGAACATGTTTGCTGATGCTAAGCTACTAGGCAAGATGAGTCTAGATGACTGTCATGCCCTTCAAGGTTACCTGGACGAGAAGGTATATGGAACAACTCTTTGCTAATGGAATTTAATGTGAATAAATACCACGTTATGGACTGTGGTATAGGAGAAAATAGGCCACATGCAAATTACAAATTATATTAAAAGGCATTTAAAGAACTCTGATTAAGAAAGAGATCTAGAGGTGATTCCAAAGAGAAAACTGTCACCTGGGGACTACATAAACATTTTGTTAGGAGCCCCCTTGAGACCACTCAACGAGCCTGACAGCTGAGTGGACGGCGCTTCGGAATCATAATCTTGATATTCCGGGTTCGATCATTGGTGGAGGCGGAAACAAATGGCCAAAGTTTCTTTCACCCTGCTGCACCTGTTCACCTAACAGTAAATAGGTACCTGGGAGTTAGACAGCTGCTACGGGCTGCTTCCTGGGGGGTGTGTAACAAAAAGGAGGCCTGGTCAAGGACCGGGCCGCGGGGACGCTAAGCCCCGAAATCCTCTCAAGATAACCTCAAGAAGACAACCTATGCTACACTTTCTAACTTTGAAAGTCACTTTTAAAGATGTGGATGGCGAATTATTACAAAAAAACTAATTACGACAATTGAGAGACCAAAATCTATATAAACTGCGGTTGTGTGTTGCCCTTGTCTCAAGAAGCACATCATCGAACTAGAAAAGGTGCATAGACGACTAAATGACTGACGGAACTGAAAACAAGAGCTATGAGAAGCGGATAACGGTGTTAAATATAGCAAAGTTAGACGACATAAGAAAGTGAGAAGATATGATCACTTTATACAACAGAAGCAGGAATCGACAAAATTAACAGAAGTCTTGAAACCTGGAACTTCAACTGGAAGAGGTCATATACTTTAGCTGAGGAAACAAAGCTGTTGAAGAAACATTAGAAAATGTACTTTTGTAAACACAGTGGTAGAGGGTTGGAGCAAGTGGTAAATGTGGTGGTGGTGGCCAAAACCGTCAATAGTTTCAAAGCGTTATATGACTGAGTACTGGGAAGACGGGACATCACGAGCGTAGCTCTCATCCTGTAACTACATTTAGGTAATTACACCGCCCCCCCCTCACACATCGGCCTCCCCCCCCCTCACACATCGGCCTCCCCCCCCCTCACACATCGCCTCCCCCCCCCCCCATCCTCACACATCGCCCCCCCCCCACACACACACATCGCCCCCCCCCCCACACACACATCGCCCCCCCCCCACACACACACACATCGCCCCCCCCCCCACCACACACACACGCCCCCCCCCCACACACACACATCGCCCCCCCCCCCCCCCCACACACACACATCGCCCCCCCCCCCACACACACACATCGCCCCCCCCCCCACACACACACATCGCCCCCCCCCCACACACACACACATCCCCCCCACACACACACACATCGCCCCCCCCCCCACACACACATCGCCCCCCCCCCCCACACACACACATCCCCCCCCCCCCACACACACACATCGCCCCCCCCCCCCACACACACACATCGCCCCCCCCCCCCCCCACACACACACACATCGCCCCCCCCCCCACACACACACACACACACACACACACGTATGTACGTACATAGGTCTGGTAGCTGAGTGGACAGCGTGCTGGATTCGTAATTCAGTGACCCGGGTTCGATTCCCGGACCAGGCAGAAACAAATGGGCAAAGTTTCTTTCACCTTGAATGCCCCTGTTACCTAGCAGTAAATAGGTACCTGGGAGTTAGTCAGCTGTCACGGGCTGCTTCCTGGTGTGTGTGGGGTTTGAAAAAATAGTAGTAGTAGAAACAGTTGATTGACAGTTGAGAGGCTGGCCGAAAGAGCAGAGCTCAACCCCCGCAAGCACAACTAGGTGAATACACACTCACACTCTCTCACACACACACACACACACACACACACACACACACACACACACACACACACACACACACACACACACACACACACTCATATTTAGACAACTATTATACATACAAGACACTGTGCAGTCAAGCATACGCTGCTCTGGTGGGTTGCAACAATTGTGCACACAATACACATTATGGAGACATTATGTACTTGCAATTGAGAGAGAGTGCACATTGTACACTGTGCCCCCCATTGTGTACGTGTTGAGTTGGTGAGTGTTTATGTAGAGCCGCCTGCTGGAGCACTGGGTTCGAGCCCTTACCAGGCATATGTAGCCACTCTCCATACTGCTCACCTGTGTTTTATTGTTTATACTCAGCAGTGGTTGTTACTCTTTCCTTAGTTCTCATTACCTTTTGTTTGCCATACATTAATTTATTAATTTTGTTGTGGTACAGTCTTTAGTGATCTTGTTATTAAATTCCATATTTTAATGTTAAATCTATTTTTGTTATTTTGTTTTAAGTTTTTTTTTTATTTGTGGCCGTGCTTTAAGTTCTATTATTTATTTAGCTTTTTGAGTAACGCAACCCTGGATGTATGAAGAGCAGATTGGATAACTGTTGCCACTTGCGCCGCGGCGGCTACGTTCGCAGATGGCGGCGGCGGCGGCGTGACGGCAGTGGAGCACCAGTGCTGCCCTCCAGTAATGTGTGAGAGCAGGCTTATGGGCCACTCTTGGCAGAGATGTCTTGGCCTGTCTGGGTCGTAGTCTCTCCTCCAGCTGCCGTCCGCTGCCCGCCGCCCGCTGCCAGCCGCCCTCACTCACCACACCATCAAACGACTGCTCGTCTCTTTCAGACATTCCTTGGTGTTCCCTCAAGTGAAAACGATAGATTCACTGCCGGAGGAGCCCTCAAATCTTGCCCAAGATATGAAAAGCAAGTTAGTGTAAGTGCCATGACAGGTCACCTGACTCGACTGTCGTGACTGGCTTGACACGCGTGCGCTACACTCACTCCCGTCCACCTCCCGCCCGTCACTTTCCACACCTGCAGCAGCTGGTGTGGAGTGGCGGCCGGGTGACTGGGGGCGTGAGTGGCAGAGCAGCGTGGAGACCCTCACAGTCTGCTTGGGACATGAGCTTGGGACTGTACCGTACTTTAGAGCAACTACCACTGTCAAACTAACACCACTAACAATCACGAGACGCAGAGCGGCGGATCACACCGCTTGGCTGCGCCTCTACTTCAACTCCCACCCCATCACCTCAACTTCCATCCCCATCACCTCAACCCCCATCCGTCCTCCCTTTGCCCCTCCTTCCATCCGCATCCTGTCACCTTTGACAGGTTTTGTTCCCAACCTGTCCAAAAAGTATTAATGAGTTAACAAGTTTGTTTAGTTAAGTGATGCCCTGTTGCAGTAACAGCCTTAATAATTGTTTGTGATTGATTACCCAGAGTTTTGTAACCCTGCCCGTCCCCCCCCTCCCATTAAGCCTCCCCCCCCCCATCTCCCTCCCATACATCCCACCCAAAAATGCCGCTTCACACGCGGCTTGACTTCAAATCTCAAGACCGAGCAAGTGGCAACAAACCAAGGAAAATCTTTGAGCAGCGGTAGCTACTAATAATTTAGATTTTGGTTTTTAATGAATCCCCGTTGGTGGTTTTCTTGGTAACCACAGTAACAACGAGTTAATCGGTTTTCTTAACTTTGTTAAAACTTGTGTTGCATGTTTTGTTATTTCTAGTTGAGTTTGTATCAGTGCATGACTTTATTTGACTTTAGTGTGATGGTGGTTGTGACTGCAGGGTTCCCACTTCCAGGACGCCTGCGGGAGCTGCACGCAGGGGTCGCGATCCTCAAATGGCAACCGGGGATGATGATGCAGACCCAAGGCACGGGCACTGACTAATCTAGTAACGGGGAGGAGGGGTGGGGGGAGGGTGGGTGGCAGTGGGCCACCACCTAGGCCCACCACCTACACGCTACACGTCGCTCACCACCTACACCGGCCCATGTACACTATTGACCACACCCCGGCTCAACACTAAAGAGTCGATATCCTTTTAATAGCCAGTATTTTTTTGTTATTTTTTTTATTTTTATTTTGTTCAATTTAAGGGCACTTGTGATAGTGAGAGGCACTGGTGGTGTGGGAGAGAGAGGTGACAGTGGTGGAGTAATGCAGGGTGGGAGGTAGTAGGCGAGTATAGGTCAGCAAGAGACTGACTGGTAGTAACAGGTAGGTTGGAGTAGTAGACAAGATAAAGCACTCACGACAGTAGATGACTTGGGCCATATCCAGGGAGATCAACTCCTGAGCGAGAACACTCGTGGTCATGTTGAAGCTAAACTACTCCTGGCTAAGGCTCTTTGTTGTTTTGAATGGTAATACTTGCTGGTAGAGGTACTAACACGTATTAGTCTTGAACTCACACATGTTGCCTAACAAGTAAATTGGTGTGTTGGTAGTGGTAGGAAGGTGGACAAGTTAGTGCCGAGGGTCATTGCCACCATGACCGGCCCTTGACCTGACCCCAACAAGTGCGCTCCAGAAGAGGGAGAGGGGAAGGGTTCGAGATAGTGAGAGAAACGACAAATTAACGGAAAAGGCAAGATCATATAGGAAGGTGAGAATGACCGTTAACGTTTCTTAAATAATAGATGAAATGTGAAATGAGGTATTGTGCACAATTTTAAATTAAATTTCAAGATGCTATTAATCTTCAATTTGAAGTGAGATGCCAGCAGAGGCGAGTGGGTTAGTTATGGAGCGGCGTGTAGGTAGTTGTGTAGTCCAAGATACTCTCACGCATCAGGTGAGAGGTGGTGTTGGGAGAGAGTGGCATCAAGTGAGAGGTGGTGTTGGGAGAGTGTGGCATCAAGTGAGAGGTGGTGTTAGGAGAGTGTCGCGTCAAGTGAGAGGTGGTGTTAGGAGAGTGTCGTATCAAGTGAGAGGTGGTGTTAGGAGAGTGTCGCGTCAAGTGAGAGGTGGTGTTGGGAGAGTGTCGTATCAAGTGAGAGGTGGTGTTAGGAGAGTGTCGCGTCAAGTGAGAGGTGGTGTTAGGAGAGGGTGGCGTCAAGTGAGAGGTGGTGTTAGGAGAGTGTGGCGTCAAGTAAGTGGTGGTGTTGGGAGAGTGTGGCGTCAAGTGAGAGGTGGTGGGAAGATGGTGGACTTGACTGGTGGATCTTGAGGGTTGGCAAACATGACTTACTCCCACTTAACCCACTCTATAATATTAGCTCTTTATAGTATTTTAATTTGAAGATTTAGAATAGGCATTTGCATAGCTGATTAGTCAAAGACATATGTGTAATATAAGTAAATGTATTGTAATGAAAGTGAAGTATAGTAATGGAAATGAAGTATAGTAGTTAGCTTGTTAATTTTAGTTGTACATTACTTTACACATGTGGCTTTGCTATAGAATAGGTACTCTAATTACAGATTTAATACTGGTTAATTGTTTTGATTTAATACTCAAGTCAATTTAGCTTTTCAAATGCCGGTTATGACAAAATATTGTTTACCTTCAAGGCTAGAGGACCAGTGCTTGTATATCCGTGGACGATTTTGTTTAGGAGTTAGAAGTGAAGTAGTGCACGAAACAATGACCAGTTGCTTATACAATGGGGAATAGAGCAAGGCTAGTTGGTGATTGGTGGAAGGTTTGTAGTGGTGCGTGGCTTGCACCAAGCATCCCTGCTGGCAGCTCCGACTGGTGGCACTGGGGAGGTTACACCTGCGACTAGTGGCCTTTAGCGGCCTGACGAGCATGACACGTGCACTGGAGCATCTCGAGCCTTCACTGGTAGTCCCTATACTTGTGCAGCTTTCTTGACACTTGACAAGACCATGCTTCTAGGTAGCAAGGTGACAATGTCAGATATAAGGGAGCAGCAGGCTCGAGGCGCACCATGCACAGGCATGGGTGGAGGGATGACTGTACCACGACTACGTCACTTTCGTCATATCATCATAATTACAGCCGCTTCAATTTGAGAATATGCCTTAAATAAGTTTCATCATATTTGCAATACTTTTTAAAAGACTCACCCAGGTTTTCTTTGTATATATAAGCAGGCTGTTTGAGTGTTAATAAAGAGTGGTAGTGTGAATGGGGTGGTGGGTGAGTGCCACGAATTGTGGTTTGATGCTAACTGGGGATGGTGTTCTCCGCAGGTATTCCCCCGGGTCGGGTGATAACCTGCTGGGGAACTCCCTCCTCCCCGGCAGTGCCCTCAACGGTTCCGGTTGGTGCATATTTGTTTATAACCTAGCGCCCGAGACAGAAGAGAACATCCTGTGGCAGCTTTTTGGACCCTTCGGTGCCGTGCAGAACGTGAAGGTTATCCGCGACCTACAGACCAACAAGTGTAAGGGCTTTGGCTTCGTGACCATGACCAACTACGACGAAGCTGTGGTCGCCATCCAGTCTCTGAACGGCTACACGCTTGGCAACCGTGTTCTCCAAGTTTCGTTCAAGACCAATAAGCACAAGAGTTAAGGTGGGCTGCTACTCGACGTCCGGACTGTGGTGGCGGTGCTGCAGCCCGGAGTGCCAGAGCTGTTGTCTCCTGAGGACACCAGCACAGGCGCTGCCCGCCACGTCACTCGTCTCCTCCCGGTGGCGGGTGTGGTCAACACGGCCCCCCCACGACGGCGTGGCCCACACCATGGGGGTCATGTGCTAGTCAGGTCCAGAGGACCCTGGGGTGTCCTACTCCGTAATTGGCAGCAGTAAAAGCTGTAGCCGCAACAGCTATGTCTGTAGCAGCCACAACAGGGGCCACCGGCGGCTGAGGTACACAGCAACCACCTCTATGGCCCCCCTGCTACCCGGACTGGGCCCCCTCCCCCCTCCTCCTCCCCCCCTTCCCCCCCGCCGCACTACATGTGAGGCGCCCTCGCGGGGAGGTCGTCCTGCGCCCGCCCCCCGCCATCCAAATATATGTATATTAGAACCGTACTTACTACAAACAATTTATCAAGTCATATGATCTGATTATCCCAAAGCAGAACTAGTCGGCTAAGTGAGGATTTATCACAAGGTGCTAGTCGCACTAAGGCCAATAGTGGACTCGATTGAGAGCCACTCACCGCTGATATCATTAATACTGTAAGTTGTCAAGTTGTCGAGTCCTCAAAACCTTGTGTGAATGGGTTTGCGCTGCTGGAAGTGGGTGTAGGCAGGCCCGTGACTGCGGGAGGTGTAGGTGTGTGCGCGCATGTACCGTGCCCGCCCCTCGCCACCCTGCCTGCACACACACCTCTCGCGCTCTTATTTATTGATATTTATCTGATATTTAAAGCTAAGTGTATTTTTATTGTCTTTACTATTGTACACTTGAAAGAAAGGAGTGTAATGGAATTATTTTGCCAGTCTGTGGAAAATAGTTAGTATTTTGTTTACCTTGTCAAAGGAAGATAGTTTAGTATTTTGTGTTTATTACCTTGTCAATAATGAGCAGCAATAGAATCTCAAGTTTTGTTTTAGGTTGTGTTCTTGCTTGAAGTAAGGAAGCAAGTTTTCTAGTCTTTATTTGAAGTCAATTATGTATCGTAGGTTGATTTTCCTAGGTGTAGTTTCACGTTTTCCGATAATTTCAATGTGTAAAAGGTTAATTTCTTGTCTTTTTATGATTGTTACATTTTCTTTATTTCTGTATACACCAAATGTCATCACTATTTTAGTTCTGAATGGCTGGGAAATAAATTTAGTTTGTTTATTTGAGTTTGCCTTTTTATTTAGTTGACACTTTATTTGGCCCCTTTTAGTTCCTCACTAACATGTTGCACGGCGAAGCTTAACGCACGGATCCTTTAGTTGTTGAGGTGTGTGTTTACAGCACCAACATGTGCTGCTGCCGCCCCAGCCCTCCCCGTCACACCCGCCTCTGTCAAGGTAGAGAGGGGGCGGATCCTTGCTGACACTTGCGGCTGTGAGGAGGGTAGCGGCTCGGTGGCAGCATCCCCATCCTTTGCTGCAACCCATGTCCTTCGCCGTCTCCACCGCCCGCTGCCTGCCGCCCCGCCAGTGGTAGCAACAGGTGGAGAGACGTCCGCAAGGGCGTGGTGGGCACTTGGGCTTATCAACATTGCGTTGAGTTGGTCGTCTTGGTTTGCTTCTTGGGACTTCTGTTTTGGGTTTTTGAGGATAAAACCGCGCAAGTTAAGCACACAAAGTACTGGTGGTCCTCGAGCAGGTGTCACAATAAAGACTACTTAATGATCGACCCTTCTGTACTAATCTGCTGTCAAGGTAAGGATAAGGGAAACTTCCATGCAAACCTAAAGATTATCTTGAGAAAATGTGTCTATTTTTGTACAGAAATTTAGATAAAGAACCCTAATAACATTCCTGCATCAATCGATATAAGTCAATAATAATAATGATGATGATAATTTATAATTATTATTATTATTATTATTATTATTCCTGCATCAATCGATATAAGTTAAGCATATGTAGATGGCAGTGTTGTGATTCGAGTTCCGAATTTTGCAGTCTGATTTTGAATCTCACCCTTCGCGCACCCTATTTGTAAGGGCGACTTTTCTGAAGCACATCAGATTATTCAACCCTACATTTCACTCAGTGTAAGATGTGTATGTACGGGTGATATTTTTCTACCGAGATTGTAGTCTTCGGAACTCTTCTTTATATACCCGCCGAAGCACCCGTTAAGAACAGACACGGTGGTTCTTCTGTTCATAGAGGGTTTTAACAAGTTTTATCAGTTTTTTATATACAGTACCAAAGGCTAGTTGTCGGCACTTGTCTATAAGAATTATGTCTGTGGGGGCTATAATTATTAGGTGGTTGAAAGCCCTCTTGGGAAGGCCAATAATAATATACATGTACCCAGTTTTAAACATCAGGGAAGTAAGAAAATAAAGTTTAAGCCAAAAAATATCTTAGGGTCTGAAAGGAAAAGGATTGACGTAGATGGGTGCCATTGTTTTGGGTTTCTTGGTTGAAGCTTACAAAGGTTCTGGGATGGTGTAGAAGCTGGTCTGTAGGCTGGACGTGTAGATGGTATGTATTCTGGGGACTGTTGCCTATGAGGTAATTACAGTTGTTGTTAGGACTGTTGAAAAGTAGTTTGTGAAGGTATTTTTATGCTGAGAATATATATGAAAGATTGCTATCACCCCCGTTCATATTATCCCTCTATGAATAAATCAACGAAATAGATTAATATTGATAATGGTACTTCTTGTTGAATAGATTTGATGTTAATGAAGCGCAGGTGAACAGATACATTCCTCTTTCCGTCACAAATATTTGCGTTCTAGTCGACTGCCCCAAAGGTGACTCGCGCGAGGCTAGGCGGCGGTGCCACACGGGATAGGTGGTGGTGGGTAGCGGCAACTATCCCCCCAGCAGTGCCATCCCTCACGGTGATGGTGACGCTAGCCACCACCCCTGCCAACTCCCGCTCACTTGCTCTACTACTTAAAACTCATGGGCCAAATAGTATAAATTCCGGGCAAGGAATATGTCACAAATCTTAATATTAAAAGCCTTTGCTCAGAGAACTGCAGGGATATTTTCAGTAAGCAACCTTTAATGTTACTGAATGTTAAAATATGGCGGTGTTTATGGCTTGTGAGAGAAGATATGGCAGAGGTGGGCGTGAGAGAAGGCCCAAGGCTGGTGTAACCATGCCATGCCGCCCGCAGCACCCGCCCGTCGGCCACGCTGCCTCCCTCAATACATTTTTGCGGGAGTCAGTACCCACAGACTTTGGTTTCAGGATTTATTTATTAAGATGGTAAACACGTGTATTGCATGATAAATCCTATACTCAGTGTAACCAAAGGTGCATTAACAGTTGGATCTCAGAATAATGTTCGTTCAAAGGAAAAGTTGGGCGCAGGTGTAAGTGTTGGATGGTTGATAGTTTACCTGCTCAGGCGGAGTGTTTGGCCATGTGGGGCCACCCCCTCTTGGTTGAGGCACTGGCCTGGGCCAGTAAGGGGTGGCCTTCTGTCCACCACAGGACCGCGCCACAGAGTGAAGGACTTTACGGATGCAAATTCCTTGGTGCCGTCTGCTCCTAGCGGTGTCCCTTCACGGGGGTGGTAATGCTACCGGCCCCGAGTGGTGGCAGCGGATAGGGGTAGGCAGACACTGCCCTAGTAATGCGGGCAGTGCAGCGAGTCGGAGGCGCCGTGCCGCTGCCACATGCAGTGGCAGTGTGACACGGCAGGTGGTGGCGGCGCGACTCCCCGGCCTCGCTCGTTGCCCAACACGTAAAACCCAGTCTGTCAATGTGTTTGTCGATTACGATGCATTCAGTTTGCATTTTACCGCGTATCTAGTATCGTAATTTATAAAATATTATTGTATCTATTTGTCATCTTCTTGTATATTATTCAAGTCTAGTTTGAATATTGTTCATATTATTATTCCTCTTAGAAGGGAGCATGCGGAGTCTCCTACTCGCCACGAGATTGTGTACCCATCTAAATTGGTTACCGGGCTGTGGTGGGGGCGAGGGCGTGTGCGTGGGCGGAACCTGTTGATAGCACAAACCACCCGCGCCCTTGGTCGCCCACGCCAGTTCCCGCCCGCACCATAGGCCCTACAACCACACTCCGCATGTCTCCCAACACTTGGATTTATTGTATATGTAATGTAAACCTTTTCTCCTCTTTGTGTGTTGTAGCCTACTAGGTTTAACGCCACACTCCCACTCCGGCTGACGGGCCCTGCACGCCGCGTCACCCGCAGGCGTCACCAAATCTGCCCACTACGCCCGTCTTGGTGCTTGGTTCACGCCGCCCGCTGCCCACCAGTGCCGTGCTCTCTACCCTGTCTCCCTCGCCTCGCACCCTCCCGTCTTTGCCTTCCTCGTAACGAGCAGTGGCAAAGGCTGGGTGAGTGGGTGGTGAGGGCGCTAGGGGTGGGAGGTCGGCCATGGCGGGGGCGTGTTTACGTGCGTGCGTCCTGGAGGGAAGTTCTCTGGTGCCACGTTGTTTCGCAAGCTCTCACTCAATCATTCCATGTTCTCTGTGTCTGTGTTTGTATTGAGTCTAAACTGCAACTTGTTAACGACTTTGGGGGTCTAATCCGAATACCTCGACAACAAATGATGCAATAATGTCTTTTATCCGACTCTTATTGTAGAGTAGTCTATAAAGATTATAATAAAAGTCATCCAAAGAGAAGTAGTGGTTTCAAATCTAAATTTTTATTATAAAATGCCTTGGGACACCATCTCTGGCACAACTATTTTGTAAGTGTTACAGATGAATTTTTGAGCAAATACCGCTGGGGATGGTGACCCGAGCCTTGGCCGTATGTTTCCACACCCGCCAATTCTTGATTTGCCACGTGAAGTACATAATGATAGTGTCGGGCAGCCGCCAGTAGCGCGCCGCCTGGCACGGGTGTAGGCCGCGCGCGGCCGCTGGGTGCGAGGCCTCGTGCCCTGGTCGCCGCGGTCACCAGCCACCTCACGCAGCCACCTTTACTTTTCTGCTCGTTAAGTCAGGCAGGACTTTGTTGGTGTTAGACTGGCCATTCTAGTTATATATGCAATTGTTTACCAGCCCTGCCGTCACCAGTCCGTTGTGGTGGGGAACACAGGCGGCCTCACCTAGCCTCCCGGCGGCGTCACTGCACCACCTGTTGTTGACCCGTCCTATTCCCACCCACTGGGCATGTCCTGGTGTAGGTAGGAGTGAGGGCGGGCGGCGGCCTACATCGGCCGCTTATCTTGGCTCGGGGGCCTGACTACCACTGGCCCGGGCTGACTCAGTTGCCGCCTGTAGGCGCCACTTTGGTTGTTGTGTTGCCCCCGAGTGGACGGCAGCACCTTGCCGCCCACAACCTGCCCCGCCACATGTCATGGAATGGCCACCTCCTTCTGTACTGTTCTGCTTCTGTAGAGTGCCGCCGCTAGGTGTCTGTGTGTATGGTTTACATTACCTCCGGGCGTCGTACGCGCTGCGCCCCGCCCCGGCACCCACTACCACCACCCACGACCGCGCCGCCCCACACAGGGCCACGCACACGGGCGGGGACAGCAGAGCACCCACACCCGGGTTTTGTCTCCTGACATCTTTAGCACGTAAGACTTTTCTCCTGATAATTATCATTCTTCTTATTTAGAGTAATAATCCGATATACAGGCATATAGTATGAGCGCTTCTGTATAAGTTACCGTAGTATAACTATTAATATTATTATATTTAATGTGTCATTAGTCTATCTGTTTGCTTGTTTAACTTGTCGAGTGTAGAGCCATGGGTTGGATTTTGGTTATTTTGGTCACATGTCGCAAAGGAAATTAAGAGAAAATCCAGATGACATATTTGTAATTTGAGATATGATGTAAGAAATAATTTTAGCAGAGCCTACGAGGACCCCCCGAGACAGCCCGCCCAAGCGGCCACGAAGGTATCATACTGCTGCCCTACGCCCACAACTGGAATGGCCAAACTCTCTCCCATCGACTTTGGTTTGAATACTGTACTGCTCGTATTATCCAAGTACTTAATCATTGGTTTTGTCGTGTATTTGTGTTCCAAGCAGTCTTAGACACTAAACCAAGTTGTAGATGATAAGTTCTTTGCCAGTTCATGTAAGTTCCCCCTTCAATTTTCGCTGGGATCCGGTCTCCGTTTTCTTTGAGTTGTCAGTCGCTCTTGGAGGCGCGCCGACCGGCCGAGCCTCTCCTGTCCCTATGTCTCCTCCACTTCCTCACCCACCCTTTCTTTCTTTTTTACTTCCATCACTTTCTATTTGTCAAATACCTATTAACACACCCCCAACACCCTCCCCCGCCCTTCTCCTGACCCCCCTATCCTAGTCCTCCCCAGGTCCCACCTTCCCCTTTTCCTTCCCTGCAAGGTGCCCCAAACTTTGCTCTGCAGCCCAAAATGCCACCACCACCCGCGTTCTTCTTGCCCTCATGTTTCCTGTCACTCGTAATGAGGCAATTGTGATTTTGGCAAGGACCTGAACAATTAACCAAAAAGTTGAGCAGGGAGCTTTCCACGGCTGTTTATTTATTTACCGATGTTTTAGGCCAGGAGGGCTGGCGCACTGAGGGTGGTGGCTGGCCGGGAGGACCTAGCCATTAACAACCCTCCCATACAGGTGGTCTTAACCAACACGCACTCCGCTTAATACTCATCCTGGCTGCCACATCCTACATTTGTCACAAGTTGGCTAACCAATAAAATCATAAACGCCAAAATTAAGCCTCAAACGGTGCAATAAAACATGTGATATTGGCTTGATGGTAAACCCTCTTTATTTATGTTAGTAAGACGGCCGCTCCGCCCCCACAGCCCGCCCCCAGCTGCGCCACCCCAGCCGGACAAGCCCCTGACCAATTTTTGTACACAGCGATGCAGATCGATCTTGTTGTCGTTTCCAAAGGTAGTTTTGGTTGTATTGCAATATTTGTACTTTTCCATGTTGAAACCTTAAACAATAAATTATTGCAAGACATGTTTATATCTTGTTTTACTAACCGTCTATCCTTCCGCCTCTTCCTTACCTTGATCTGTGTACTAACAGCACCATCACCTTGCCTCCACCATCCCTGGCACATGTACACCTGGCCTCCACCATCCCAGGCACATGTACTCCCTCGCCTCCACCATCCCTGGCACATGTACTCCCTCGCCTCCACCATCCCTGGCACATGTACACCCTCGCCTCCACTATCCCTGGCACATGTACACCCTTGCCTCCACCATCCTGGGCACATGTACACCCTCGCCTTCACCATCCTGGGCACATGTACTCCCTCGCCTCCACCATCCTGGGCACATGTACACCCTCGCCTTCACCATCCCTGGCACATGTACTCCCTCGCCTCCACCATCCTGGGCACATGTACACCCTCGCCTCCACCATCCCTGGCACATGTACTCCCTCGCCTCCACCATCCCTGGCACATGTACACCCTCGCCTCCACCATCCTGGGCACATGTACACCTCGCCTCCACCATCCCTGGCACATGTACACCTCGCCTCCACCATCCCTGGCACATGTACACCCTTGCCTCCACCATCCTGGGCACATGTACACCTCGCCTCTACCATCCTGGGCACATGTACTCCCTCGCCTCCAGTATCTTCAGTATATGTATATCGAGCTTCTACACCGTCCCAGAGCCCGTGCTTGGATTCCTGGTATACACTCCCCCCTCCCCCCACATACCCACGCACCCACCCACCATACACCCACCCACTCACCATACACCACTCAGTAGACTCTATACATCCCACCCCCCAGGAGACTCCCTACACCCAGAAGACAACATTGCAACACCCCCAGCACGCCCCTTGCACGATATACACGCCATCCCCAGTCATACCCTGCTGCTCACACCTCCACCCACACTGCCCAGTGCACACCGAGCCCCCACAGCCTGGGTGTGCACATGTTCCATGGGGCCCCCACAGGGTACCTGGCCACAGGGGGGCCCCATTATATGTGCGTTCACACGTGTAGGTCTTAGTCAAACTTTACGTTTTGCGAAGTAGTTATATACACTTTTTTGTATATACGAGACTTGACAAACAAAATTATCGTAAAAATAAGTTAATTTAGACTCTAGAAATTTAGACTTTAGAAATTATTTTGATCAGATTGTGTCTTATATGTTAAACTAAGCTCTCGATAACTTTAACATTTTGGCTCACTTTTAACGAAAGTAATGTTATACGTTTGCGAAGACTGTACTTTACTATTATGAGTAGTGTGTTTGTGATAAGGCACTTTGTTTAGTATAGGTTAACATGCCATGGTTGGTTGGAGCGAGTTAGTGCACTTGGGTTGGGCTTGACATCACTCAGGCCACACTTCCTTCCCCACCCACTTCCTTCTCCACCCACTTGCCTTTTCCTTTTCCTTCCCTTCCTCCCTCCCTCCCTGCAACATCTCAGGCAGTGGTTCTCATTCTACGTTCTCTCCACTGAGTTACTCTCCGCCATTTATATTATGTTACAAATGTTCCAATGAATTCGTTGCTAACAGATTTTAATGTTGTTTTATCTGCTTTGCAAACTTTATTTGACTCATTTTATTATATATAATTTCAGATTATTCTAACCAAAGTACGTAAATGAGATGATTTGTGGCAATGGATAAAATACCGTAATGGGACCGAAAATTTTAATATAAGTAATGTAACCAAGAGTTGATTCTGGAAGATTTTAAAATTCAGATTTTCCAGGACTCGTTGATATGTATCGTGGAGGCAGTGGCTTGAAGCCTTTATGCTGTGGGTAAAGTTGTGTATTAAACGCTTATATACTTAAGGTGTTAAGAGGCTTGACGTGACGTTGAAGACCTCTGGTGTATGATCACAGCCGTAGTCCCTTCCCTACTCGTAGGGCGGGAGGACGTACTTCATCAAAACATTCCTATAAATGTCATTTATATTGGAAAATATTTTATGAATAGGACACATTTACATTAAGATACTTTTGATTTCAAATTGCATTTGGGAAAACTTATTTAAAAGCATAAGTGATGTTAAACCGTGTGAAATGTTTCAAGTTGAACAGGTTGCATGAACTTGGTGAGGCGGAGCCAGGAGGGTGTAGGTGTAGCAGCAGCGGTGTTATTATCATCCAACTCCACCTTCACCACGACAACCACCACCTGCAGTGTTCTTAACCATTTCCATGAGTTAAGTGGACACAATGTCCTCTTTCAAGGCAGTATTAGTAGTAGTAGTAGTAGTGTGAGCTTGCAACAGGGCATTTTACCTTGATCATCTCGTTTGGTGCGTTCACTCATCTTGTGCAACATAGTACCAACAGCCCTTGGACGCTACGGATGAAACTGCTCTGTTGCAAGCCCATAGTACTAACAAATATTTTCAAAATATGGCCTAAATTCTGTGATGTAAGTACCCAAAATTATCAAATAGAATCTCATGTACAAGTTGTTGGAAAAAACAAATTGTGGTCTTTATGGATTCAGTATTTTCTTAAGAGCCCAGTGGTAGACTTGGGGGTCTTGTACTGGGAGTATAAAAGTCTCAGGGACCTGTGCGTGGACATCACACAGGATGGGATATACAGAAAGTTTTGAAAGGCAGTTTTAATAAAATGTTAAACATAATTGCGAGAAGATTTTCACTTCCTTCCCTTATATACACGGAGTTTAATACAGGTTTATCCCTCCCCCCCCTCGCCAAATTCACTTCTCGCTGTGACTCATGTTTACCATAATTTGGTAGGACCTTATCTGCGGCCACAAAGTATTGGCTAGAACTGAGAATATAATTATGATAATATTACCGAGTAAATCAAGGGTTTAGATAAAAAAAAGCTGGAGAGTCTTCTTGCTCTAAATTTTCAAAGTAAGCTGAATATTTTTAATAAATTATACCTAAATTACTTCAATTTTATTGTTTAAAATTTCATCAGGTCTGTGGTTCCCAAGAAAATCTGTTATGATTATGCAAACAAGGTAATTTAAACTAAATTACTGAAACAGTATTTAATAGGAAACAAGCGACCAAAGTATTCGCAATGTACGATTTTGTTTGTTTGAAATGTTGAGAGACTGTGTGTGTGTTGCAGACCCTAGTGTTCCGCCAGTGGATGTTGAGAGACTGTGTGTGTGTTGCAGAGCCTAGTGTTCCGCCAGTGTAGTGGATGACCTGGGGCCAGATTCACGAAGTTAGGCAAGTATTTACGAACGTGTACATCAATCTTCAGTCTTTGATGGCTTCCCCTCCCTTTCCGGCCTGTTCTCGTCGTGAGGGGGCTTGGTGGGCGGCATTCGGAGTGTGATGCTCCATGGGACAGTCCTCTGTCCTTTTGTAGCCTTGTGCTCCTGCTGCTGTCTTCACCAATTTTGCAGGATGTCTTTTCCTTTTCCTAATGTTTCATTTTCTCCCCCCCCCCCCTCTTCTCCTTTCTAATTGTCATTTCCCGCCGACCTTTTGTCAGTCTTGATTCTTCTTTTGGACATCTTCTGTTTTGACGCCCAGGTGTTTGGGGAGGCATACTCTAACCCGTAGAATTCTGGTACCCAACGTCACGAGCGAGGGGACGCTTTTATTGTCAATCCTCCTTTCGTCACTGAACCTGATCTCGATGGACTGACGGTTCTTAAGGTGGCGATTGTGGGGAATATACTCATGACACACCCCTGGGAAGGGCCCTGACAAGACCTGTCTCTTGTTGGGTGTACTATCCTCTAATTGTGGCTCTGTGATGGGTACGGGGGCACATTCGTGAATGAAAGTATTACCTCTCGTTTTTATGTCGCTGAATACCGTTCCTCTTGTGACTTCTCAGGCTCGTGGAGTGGGCGACCAACAATCGGATTGTGTTGGAAGACCAAGCTCTATAGCCCCCGCTACATTGGGCCCAGACCTAGCTCCCCCTTTAACCCTCCTGACTATTCCCCTCAGCTCCCCTCTCTCCTCTGTGGTTGGATCGAGCCCCAAGCCCCCAGTGGTGACCACCTAGTCTCCTGGCACGGCTAAGTCTCTCCTTGTGATTACTGCATTTTTTTTAACCCCTAACACACTGGGGGTTCTCAACGCCGTCCCCGCCACGGGCCACAGCCACACTCGGGCCACAGCCGCACTCGCACGATCCCTTCCCATTCTAATACACACTATGGCTTGTTTGGTTCTGCTTTGTGGGTTAAATACTTTGATCTCCACCATGTGGATTCTACACCTGATGATTTCTCCCTCCATAAACACCTTGTTGATTCGGTAAATGCCTCTGTTACTTTTAACCCCACCTGTTTCGGAACACATGTCATCGCTGCTGCTCCACAGGATGCAGCTACCCCACTTAGCCGCACTGGTGTCAAGTGCTCCGTTCAGGAGTACATTCCCTCTCCTAGACTGTAATAAGTGCTGGAAGTTCGGGCACGGTGCCCTCAAATGCAAAAGTCTTGTGTGTCTATGCCCCATGTGTGGGGACGATGGCCACTCTGACATATCTCTTCTCCCCAGGCTCACTGCCTCAATTGCGGCGAGGCCCACCCTACCTTCTCCCGCACGTGTATACACTACAAGCTTGAGGAAGCCATCCTCAACTTGAAACACCGGGATCGTTTGACTTTTCCTGAAGCAAGACGCCAAGTCTGCTGTCTCCACCCTTTCACTGGCGTATCTTATGCTCGCGTGTTGCAATATACCTCTCCTCGTCCTTCCCACTTTCCTCGGTCACACAACCGTTTCCAGGCCTTGGACCCGGACATGCCCACTGCCTCCTCCCCTGTTCCTTTACGTTCTGTCACGATTGGTCCTCCCCCTAGTTCTCCATCTGGAGTTTCCCCCCCCTTCCTACCTAGTCCACCATGTCTCCTGTGTCTTCTTTCCCATCTCCCCCCCAATCCTTCTTCTCAACCCTCCTCTCAGTCTCTTGGCCCTCCATGCCGCCTGTCTGTCCAGGCTGTTGTCCATCATCCTCCCAGCAATCTTCATGTTGTTCATTCCCGTTCTTCTCCTGTTGAGAGTGTTG